CCCTTAATTGCGCTTGTGTGGCTTAACAGTGTGTGTTTGTGTCTGTTTGTGAGTGTGTTTTCAACAACCTGTTGAATGAATGAATCTGCTCTCGTGTTGAATGTGTTGATGTGCTTTCACTGTGGCAATAGTGGAGAGTACTGCAAGGAAATATTATTTTCCCTGGTCATTCATCTGGCAGGCATATTTCTCTCTCCTGAACCAATTTGTCGTTTTCAAAAAGATTGGGGAAAATTGTCAATCAGAAACATAAGTGGCATAGTCAAATGTTTCCATTTTGAAAAATTAGATGTGATGTCCAATATTTTTTACATGTAATTGACTATCATGAATATATACGGGATGTTGTTTTATTTTTTTATTTACTAGATTAGATTAAATTAAATCCCACAGTCACAAATGGTGTATGAGACATGTGTTCTCTTATTGCATTTGCTATAAGAGTCAATGGGGTTTCTCTAAAGAAATACCCCATCATCCTCCATGCATTCTAGATGCAAAGTGATGTAATAATCTTAAACACAAGCAGCCATTTCTTTCAAACAAGGATGGCCTCTTTCACTTCATCCTGTGTGAAGAATGTGCACATTGCTGTCCTTATAACGCTGTTCTCTGTCCTTGGACTTCAGGTTTACTTTTGTGTCTTGAGCTGGCTTTTGTTTAACTTTAAGAAATCATCTGCAAACAGAGCAGGCAGTCCTGAATGTCGTCTATCAAAGCCGTTTGAATGCAGCCTCAGCGCTGACTTCACAGCCATTTGCACTCTGAATCATGTGACTGCACCTCTCACATGTTGGCTGGCTCGGTCAACAACTCACAGGTGACAATATTCCACAGGACTGTCAAGTGTTGAAACACAAGCGGCCCCTGTGGCCCTCAAGGTGTGAATGACCCTGTCACTTTCACATGTGCATCATTACCAGCTGTGAGCAGCACATGATTAAAAAAACACAACAACTTACCCATCTCATGGGCTCTTGCCTTGACCTGTGTCCTGCACAGATTCCTAAAACCAACACACTTCTTTGGTCATCTTGCCAAGAATATCCAAAAGTATATATAACCATCTATGACTTTCTATACTTCCTTACAGATTGTATTTAAACTGTTTTAATAGGCTACTTCAGCCATGAAAAAAGGACACCAGAGAAGTCTTCCACTCTGAAAGTTGACCATGTTACATTTGTTCATGGTTTAAATGGTTTATAAATATTTTCACCACATGAACCTCTTGAACAGCAACTGCAATAGTATTTTGGGTTTGGGGGTTGGTTGGAGCTGGAGTGGAATAGGGATGTTTGGGATATATTTGGCTTAATGTCTCTCTGTATAAATTCTCTGTATTTGTATTTGCTTTCACACTCTGAAGTGATGTTATCTTCAATTTGCATAAAAAATGCTGTGCAAATAAAGTCTGTAGTCTGTAGTGTAACGGTCATGGCCACCTCTGGCACTCCTCGGCTCCAGCCCTGGATTTTGTTGGTCAAGTGGTTAAATACCCACACACATCAACTCCATGAGGCCATATTGCTTACCTGAAAAAGAGGCTGGAATACCATGAAAATATGAACCATGTATGTACATAAAAATCACGCCCATAATCTGATCCTATGTGGTTGTCTGGTTTTACTTTTTGACACCTCTAAGTTGCCGTGACAACACCATACATCGAACACCAGAGAAGGTTTTTTCTTCCCACTGCGGTGTCGTGCTGTGGTTCACAGCACCGCTCGAGACAAGAGATAGGGAGGGATTGTTCTGTTTATGTATTTGTATTACATTAGATATTGGCAAAAAACTTTAACGAAAATATCAACAGAGAATAATGACGATCGCACTCATCCCAGTGAGTGAACAGAATTTCAGGGGACGACGAGCATGATGGATGGGAGTGGAATGTGACTTGCTCTGTGCTTTATTAAGACATGGCATTTGTAATAGGAAGGCTATGCTTTTACTGATGAGATGTCACCAAAATATATGATGCAAAATTATAAAGATACTTTTAGCTTAGTGGTTTTGTGCTGCAAAATGTCACTGTACAACTTTTTTCTCTGGTTCTACAGCCATATGGATGATCTGACCTCACACACTTTTGTAACAGTCAGGGTGTGGGAAAGATGCATTTGTTTCTCGTCATTGTGTAGCGCTTCTGTTACTTTTGACTAAACTCGGTATTGAAAAGGTTTTGTGGCTGTTGCATGCACATATTTCCACAGTTTTGTTTCCATAGAAACACTGAGTGCCGGGCAGCCGTGTATTTTAGAGTTACATAAGGCTTTACCAGTAATACAACATACAATCTGATATGGGATTTCTCATTTGGCTGGTTTGCTATTTTAGGAATAATACAGCACAGCAGTTGAAAATAGCTTTTTCTTTTCATTCTGTGGCTATTTTAGGGCTGTTTAGATACACTCTGCTGCTGGATTAGAGGAGGAAATGGGTATTTCAAACATCATCTTTAAATCAATTTAAAATGTTTGCATCCCTCTAAGTGTCCCTTTGCCACACTAGAAGTAAAGGTGCACAGTTCAGTACAATTAATGTGTGTCCATATAAAGGTGGGCGTTGAGAGTGGCGGCTCTTTCACAAACAAACCGAACATACATGAAGCAACTGGGTTTATGATTATGCCTAGACTCAGGCAACCATCCTTAAATTATGTATGCAGATTAAATGTACATAAAAAGTAAATAGATTAAGTGTCAATGATTGCTAGTCTTTGAAGAATGGTAAAGCTGGTCCACATAAGGATTCAGCTCTTCTAAGCAGGGATCATGAGTTTGGTCTTCCAGTGCCTCCTACACCATCTGCAGGGCCAATAGGGGGTTATTAATAGATGTACGACAAGGCTATTTGAGTCTTTTATGTTACTGTTGCAACAATTTGCCTCAGGCATAATAATGTTTCACATGTTTTGATCTTTTTTGTTGTCATGCACCAGAAAAGATGGTTCTAGTGTATTAGCCATGTATTTACAGTATGGATTTTCAATTAGCATTCAGCATTGGGTGTAGTGTTCGCCACATGACTTCTGTTTTTTTGTTAAATTGCTGTTGTGTAAGCCTTTTTTACACCACAGTTCCCTCAGAAATAGTACACAGAATCTATGCCTCTTCATGGTGATCAAGTTTTGGCTGGGGGGACTTTAACAGACTCGCTGTTAAATAAGATTCCTTTTCACGCTTACCTCACAATTGCTTTGGTCCTTAAGTTCACATTATCTTTGGCCACTTTATTCACTGCAGTGAGTTGCCATGTGCCCGAAGGCCTAGGGTCTTTGAAGCAATAGAGCAGCAGTAATACAGCGAATACCCTAAACGCACTTGATGTTCAGTCTCTTGCACATCTGTGATTGCGCAGTTGTGATGAGTGAATTATTTCATGACCTTGGGAATCAGGCAGAATAACAGATGCCTCTAGTTTTCACAATGACATCATGACTGTTGGCAGCAGGGGCTCACAGTGAACGAGAGCATCTCCGAGGTTGACCTGGAATGAAACAGCTTGAACAGTATTAAGCTGTTAATTACTAAGTGATAATACCCAACTGCAATCACAGATTTCCTAATGGATTTCAACAAGTTTTAACACGAGTCCCCCAGTGGCTCCTGGATATTAAGATAATGAGGATTTCTAGTAATTCATCTTATTGTTCAGGATATAATAATATAATTATAGTTTGGCTCACTGTCTCCAAGATGTGTATGTCATAAGATAGGTAGCTCTTTGCTCTAGGCAGTGGAGTATAATGCGATGTGTACACAATTATGATAGCAGCTGCCGAGTAATGTTAGTGAGTAATCACCAACGAGCATCAAATAATTTAACATAATAGTCTGTTGTGTTGTCCTTTTCAAAACACAGGATCATCCTCACTGTGTTCAAGTGCCGTTTGAGGATGTGAAGAGAGATTTGGATCAGGGGTTTAATGATGGCAAGTGCATCATGGTCTGTTTTTATTTGCCAAATTTGCGGTTTGATTAAGAGCACACCTGCACAAACATGTTATTTCCTTTCAGGCGTGATTTAAAATCACTTTTATTTGAATTTTCATTCATGATTTCTCTTTTTTTTTTAATCAACAGTGTTATCTTCAGTATTTTATATGTGTGTTTGAAATTCTGGGTTAAATGGGATTCCCCTTATTGTGTCGGAGAAATAAATGACACTTTCGCGGAACATGAACCTCCCGAGGCCTTTTCTTCCAGCCATTACTCCTGTGATGATGAACTCCCCAACGGAATATTGGTTATCTAAATCCTCCATCTTTTGTAGCTTCTAGCCACGCTTAAGATGGGACTGAGCTTTTAAGTACTAAGGGATGAGTGGAGAACTTCTTTTGATATCAGAAGCCTTGCCTCTATTAACTTATAGTTATCCACCCCATTAAGACTAATTGTTCTCCTTTAAGAGCACATCACTTTTAACATTTTTGAAAAAAATCTGTATTTGCTGCACAACTGTGTGAGTCACCAAGATGATGTTTTCATATGGAAATCAAGGTGAAGAAAACAAAAACTCAAAAATACCACTTTATAAAACAGGATGTTGATATCGACTCACGCTGTGAATATGTTACGACTGCATGTGCTTTCCTCATGAATGGTAACTCCAAAATGAATGGGGCCTTGTTTGGAAATTCATAGAAAGTACAGTACTACATGAAATAACATGGCTGTACTTTAAATGATTTTCAAATTAGTCTGCAAATTGCTCCTAAACATTGCGTTTAGAGCTCAAAAAGAAATTAAGCTTTTTATTTGGGCAGCTGGATCTGTAATACACTAAATGCTCTTTCACTGAAGCTGTTGTGTTTGCAATCTTATGCGCTTTGTCCTCTAAAAACAGCAAGAATCCTATTAATAACATTGATTCTTTTGGAGCGACGCCAGGCACATAATTAAATCAGCTCTGTTGTGTCATATTAAACTCCTAATCCGTTTCATCAAGGCATTGAGAATTTATTTGGGTGTTTTTTTGTTTGTTTTTTACAGGGATGACCTGCCAAGCCAGGACATCATACACAGAAGACGAGGTCCTGTGGGGACATCGCTTCTTCCCCGTCATTTCCTTGGAGGAAGGGTTCTTCAAGGTGGACTACTCTCAGTTTCATGCCACTTTCGAGGTGCCCACCCCCCCCTATAGCGTGAAAGAACAGGAGGAGGCTCTGCTGCTCTCTTCACCACTCATGGCTCCTTCCCTGTGCAACAGTGGAGAGAAAAACAGTTCCCTGGACTGTCTGGAGACCCTGGAGGACAATGACAGCACCACCAAGCTGCCTACCAAGCTTCAGAAGATCACGGGGCGGGACGGCCTGCCAAAGAAGCTGCTGAGGATGAGCTCCACCACCTCAGAGATGACTTACAGCTTCGGAGACCTGCCCATGAAGTTGCAGCGAATCAGCTCTGTTCCTGGTGTCTCTGATGACAAGCAGGGTGGCAAGGCCTCCAAAATCAGCACAGAGCCCATGAGCAAGTCAGTGGCGGACTTACCTCCCAAGCTGCAGCGATTGGCTGGCGGAGGAGGGGGCAGGATGGACGGACACCTGCCGCCTAAACTCAGAAAGATGAATTCTGATCGCTTTACATAAAGCAGACAGCATATTTAACTCCTGCAGTCTACTTTTTTCCCTACCTGAAGTCCTTGTACTATCCCTAATTTATTAATGGACAATATTCTTATATTAACGGAAATGTAGAATATGTGCACAAAGACCTTATACAAAGTAGGGAAATGGAAATGAGCACACTTGTCGCTGGATGTAAATGTACATGCTATAAAAAGACCTCTCTTTTCCTCTCTTTCCTTTTTAAAAAAAACAATGATGTACAATTAGCACAATCTGGCATGTAAGAAACAGCGCATGTAGAACCAAATCTCAATCTCTGGCATGACACTTGTTGATATTTTACAAAATGAATTACTGGTAAATTTACAGACAGTTGAAAATTTGCACAAAGCCATATAATTTACAACATTGAAAGCATTACATGGTTCTAATTTGTAGTAGTGACAAAAGGCACATGACATTTGTTTTGAGTTGATTGCTTTTGTTGTTTAATGTAAAATCGTGACAATGTTCCGTTGCTTGCATGCTCCTCTTTCTGACTTAGCTATACAAAAGGTAATAGACAAAGATGTTTAGCCTTAACTATATTACCTTGTTTCCATTTTCATGTACGATCACAGCAGTATTTTTGGTATTTCATATAGACTATTTTACCATGTGCAATTTTATGACTTTACTAGATGATGGCGTACAGAACATGCTGCCAGATGATGCATTTTACAGTTACAAATGCATTATTAGCATCAGTGGAAGTGGAACGCTACATAATTTTCATATGCTTCTAAACGTAAGACTTAAGTTGAACCATTCACTACATGTAACTGATAAGCACAATACCCTGTAATATTAGACGGCAGTCATGGCGTTTTGTCTCACCTTATAACAAAATGCAATCTTCAAGGGCCAGTTTGTTGTGTCTTACATGAAGCTTCATTAGAGATGCTGAGGTTAGGTGTTACCCGTTAGATTTGGTGGGCCTGAAAGAAATTTATAATCTTCGTTTTTTAGGGCCCATTTTGTCCCTCTTTTGTGATGAAAGCAATAATATTAAAATGACTATGATCTAAAGCCACAGGGTCAACTACAGCTCCATTCTGTTTACTAAATACATTCCATGAAATCTGGTTTTCTCTAAATGCATCAAAGATATTGTATGATACCTGGTCTCTTCAGGAATAAAGATTTAACCTAACTGTTTAGTACCGTGCTATTTTGATTAGATGTAAAATACACTTAAATTGCCATTCTTATGCTTCTTGGAGGGGGTATACGCAATCATTAGAGGGGTACTTTTACCACCATGTTGTTCTAAAGTTGGTCACATTGTGTCAAAGCCCCTGCCACTTCTGAGATGACGCTGAGTTTTTGTGCTCGTACTCTGCTCGTACTCTGATAAATTGATTGCAACCATGTAAAATTGTTTTCACAAATGAACACATAAGATGTTCAGTGTGAGGACTTCAGAAGGAGAATTTCTAAGGGCGATTCATCCATTATAGCTATGAATGTGCAGGAAAGGGTTGTCAGCATGGAGGGCACTGGAGGCAAGACATTAATGCAAAAGGTACAACGAAGCAACTGCTGTATTTTAGTTACAGTATCTAAAAATAACAGAGAGACACATCTCTGAGAGTCCTTTTGCATTGATATCAATGTGTCATGTATCAGGACATAACTAAACAGGGCCAGTGGAAGGGTATCTTCCAGGGCAATATATTTTAGCCAGCATATTTATAGATTAAAAGCACATTTTTTCAACTGAGTAGGTCCTGGAGATTTTCCTTAGAGATAGATTGAGGACATTCTAACATAATTACACAAAAAAAGTCCAGTAAGAGTGTAATAATAGCTTAAGATGGTAAAAGCAAAAACTGCATTTACTTCTAAAATCTAAAATGTTATTGTAAAATTGCCAAAGTAGTGTTAAGTAGCTTTAAAAAGTAGTAGTGCTAAAAAAAGTTACATGACTAAGAATCATGAGATCTAATACAAAGGCTACTATGAGTCCCCCCACATTGCTTATGACGCTGATGTATAAGTTACTATGTTTATTGATTATCTAAAGAAAATTCTATCAGACATTTGAAGAAATAACATTCTGCTCTTTGAGACTGTCCAATGTAAGGAGTGATATCACCTGGTTCAGCTTAAAGCAATAATTTAAACAAGCATACCACTTAAATGAAACCCAAAACTTACCCAAGCATTAGAAAGTCCCCCCAGTGTGCAAATAAACCAGTAATTTGCTTGAAAACACATCACTCAAGTTAATCACTTGTCATTTCTCTTTCTTTTTTATACTTATTTGTCAAATGAAAGTATTATACCATGTGCTCACATGTCTGATGAGTGTTACTAATACTTACAATTATTTTCAAGAAAAGAATGAACAGCTTATAAAATACAATGCATAGTTTTACCATATATCAGTTAATATATCAGTAGATATATATCAGTTTACTGAAGAAACCAGGAATCATTTTATGACAATAGCCAATTTAATTTGAGATGCGATAGTATCAAATCAGGATTTAATATTCTTAGATTACTTTAATTGCTATGTCCTGTTCGAAATATTGTGTTAATTTAGAGGATTACATTATTGGTTAGACAAAGCATGAATAGTTACTGAGAAACCAATTTCTGAATACTTACCAACCAAGTGTTATTGAGTTAATTGCAAAAATAATGCATAGATTCAACCATAATGAAAATAAATCATTGGTTGCAGACTGCTATGGGATGGCTGTACTTCACCCCCATCAATTTCCACACTAAAATACTACTTTTATAACACATTATGCATTAAGTAATTGTATAATTATTCCTTGCAGTGTAAGAATAGAGGGGGATGGTTCTGTAATCAGTGCTCCTGATACCTTACGTATGCTTTACAGAAGGCATTTTTATGGAAGATCAAATGCTCAGTGATCATCAAGCCACATATACCTTTCATAACATTGCTTTAATATGTGCAACAATTAGGCAGGAGTTCAGATAAACTTAGTTTTTTAATCAACAATGCATCCATACAGTGCAGACAGAAAGTTTTAAAAAATGTACAAGTTTTCATATTTTGTTGGTTTAGTCATCCTGAAACTGATGTAATACATTTAGGTCTAATCAGTCTTCACACTCGTCTTCACAATAAATAAATACTTGTTTTCATCTATTTTAAATAAAAGGCTATCTCATTTTTTTTTTGTTTTTTTGGGGTACACTTACAATAAAGGTATGGTCCATCATACGGTGGTCAATGGTCTTTGTGACTCTTCTACAACTTGATAAAAGACTGGTATAAAAAAAAGCAAGGACCAGGCAAAACTGTCAAATATCAAAAAGAAAACAAAAGCCTGAGGTCAAGAGACCTACAAGACAGGTTTGTGTGAAGGACGGTGTGGACCTACAGTGTTCCTTTACATAACCTTTACATAATGTGCTCATGCAGGTTAAGCGGTGTCACAACTGGGAATAAAAACTGACCCAGACAGAATCGGGATCCCCAAAGAATTGGAATTTGCAGTGTCCTTCACAGGGCCAAAGTGGTGATTCTGAAGAAAAATGGGGGAGACTTCTTAAGGCTAGATATGTCAAGCTTGTAGGATCGTGAGACTCATTTAAGTAGTTTTAGTTTTTCAATTGATAAACACGACAGCTGTTTATTTTAGTGGGGCCGTTGTGGAGTATTGTATGGACACTGAAGAGCAATTGATTCAAGTAAGTCTCAAACAATTAATTGGCCCTTCTTCTGATACGAGGCTTAGGAACCTCACATGTCCCATTGTCGATCCTTGATCAGACCCTTGTTAAATATCTCCGGGGCAGAGCTTCAAATTATTTTTAAAATCGTTTCTACTATCAAATCTGCATTCCAATAGATGGCTTGAAGAGCTTTTGTGTGGTGCATTTCACTTGTCTTAGTAATAACACATGCATGCCTGCAGACTTATTTGATCTGTTCTAAATTTGGAGCAAAACTGAGTCAGATAAAGGATCCCACATCGACACAATTCCAGTGTCAGTTTGTTCCGTGCTTTCAAAGATTTGATCATACTCTTGTGTAATCACTGCTTCTGTTCTTTTTTCCTGGTACACCCTTTGTTGCTGTTAAATATTCTGTGGCCAAAAAAACATTTTAATTTCAAAAGATCTCCTAAACAACTCATGAAGATTAAGCCAGAGCCTTTATTGTAGGTATCACAGGTGGGAGGGTAACTTCTGTTTTTATCCTCAGATAACCCTTTCTTTTTTAAACCCATGAGGTGGATAAGAATATCAAAAGTGCTGATGCCATTATCCTCTGACTTCTTGGAGGTGGGGCGCAAATCCCTTAAAAGCCCACCTTAAATCAGCACTTGTCTTGCCAGAAAACAATTGCCCTTTATCACCAAGGAGATCACTGCGTTAGATGTCCCATTTTTTTCTCGTGCCTTTTGTCTGTGCCTCTCCACAGAAATACCATTTAAACACAGAAATAATTGAGACAGGCAGATTTGGAAGCAGTGGGTGGACAGTAGTGGGAAGCAGAAATGGGGGCATTCAGAGTTCAAAATCTTGTTAATGTTTCCAAAGATAAATACTTGTCAAGATATACAGATAGTTTCCATTAGCTTGTTTTTATCATTTAAAAACAGTACAGGGCAAACAAACGATAAATGCATGGCAAAGTGAAAGCTTTTACTATTTCTATGAACTGTTTTTGTTGTATTCAAACAAATCTGTGTTCTAGTCAGGAAGTTTTCCAGTGTCTACTTTTACAAATATAGTGAAACTGCCTTCTGTTTAAAAGACTTTGGTAGTGAAATTTCACACTATTCAAAGTTATAAGACCGACTGGTTGGCACTTATCAAGAAGGGATGAGATTTGACAAATCACATTTACAGATGAGTGCAATATAAGACTGAACTGCTGGTCTCTTTGGACTCCATGACACCCTGCAAAAGAAGACAAATATCTTCAGGCCATCTAAATGGCTTATTCTTTTTCTGTAAGCGGCTTAATTCAGAGTGGCACAAAAAAT